AAAGAAAGAAAGAAAGAAAGAAAGAAAGAAAGAAAGAAAGAAAGAAAAAGAAAGAGGGAGACAGCCATGAAAAAACTCCTTATGCTCAGACTGGCGAGATGGCTCAAAGGTTAAGAGCTCAAGCGCACTACTGCTCCTCCAGAGGACCTGGGTTTGATTCCTAGGTGGCTCACAATAGCCCCTAATTCCAGTTCTGGGAATCCAATGCCCCCTCCTGGTCTCTGCTGACTCTGTACACATGGTGCACAGACGCATGCAGGCAAAACTCACAGCTTTTTTTTTTTTAAGTTCCTTATTCTGTCATCCTGCTCTCAGGTCAAAGTATCTTCATCCACAGTGAGGAGGCTGGGGACATCCTGTTATCCTCACTGGGGACTCGTCCATTGCTCCACCTCTCACCACTCTGACTGGGCCCTGTGCTTAGTAACAGTTCTCCAAGTGATTCCCTAGAAGCCTCTTCTCAAACGGCCATGTCATTAGATGAAGATAGCAACAGTCAAAACCCACTGAGCCTTCACGGGCTTCCAGTATGAGAAATGGAGACCAGAAACCCATCTGCTCTGTTCAATGTTTCCCAGACTCTGTGCTCCTAGTTTAAATACTATAGATTTCAGCTAGGTGGTGCATGCCTGTAATCCCAGCACTTGGAAAGCTAAGGCAAGAGTATTGCTGTGAATTCCAGGCCAGCCTGGCATGCAAAGCAGATATCAGGCCATAGAAGGTCACCTGAAAACATGCTGTGTCAAGAAAACAACAACAACAAAAATACAGAAATACCACATGTGCCAGATTCAGTATCAACATCCTTCTCCCTGCATTTCCTCATCCATTGGGCAGTGCCATTTGCCACAATCCCTCCTTCTCTCTCAGCTTTCGTATCTCTCCTTACTGCCATGAACTGAGTTGATAAACTTCTGGTGTTTATATAATCCATGTATCAGTGAAGACAGATAACGTGAGGTGTGAATGTACAAGAGGGAGCATCAGGTGGACTTCTCTCAAGGCAAGCATTTCTTCCTTGAAGTCAAAGCTTCCAGCAAAAAGCCGATTAAGCATTGATGAGCAACCAGGGTGGTTGCCATGGTGATAGGAGGTAGCTAAAACAGGGAGAGGATTGCAACACGATGTCGGGAAAGACAGTAGGGCTTTCTGGCAAGAATATTCAGGGGCGGGGTGGGGAACTGAGCACACATCTCGCTGGGGAAGTTTCAGGACTTGAGTTTGACCCCGACAACCCGCACAGGAAAGCCGGGCGCGGTGACGCAGGCTTGTCATCCCAGTGTTGTGAGACAGAGGCAGGGGGAATCTCTGGGACTTGCCGGCAAACCAGCCTAACTTAATTGACATGCCCCATGCCAGTGAGAGGTCCTGTGGATGGCTGAGGCTGTCCTCTGGCTTATGCATGCACAAACATGTATGTACATAGACATGTCTTATGCATTAACTAATTAACTAGTTAATGATCATTCCTAGAGATCGGAGTTTCCTTTGTTTTCACTCCCCCAGCATCCACTCCAGCATGCTGCAGAGAGATGGGATAAAGTGAAGGGATGAAAGCAGGTCTGGGTAGATGTCATGTCACCTCAGGTAGGGGGGCGACTCTAGTCCACATAGCCACATGTACTAAAATGATGGTTGAGGCCTACTGTCTTGCAGGAGAATTTTGGAAGACAAGAAAAAAACTTTGAGTCACATTACAATGAGATCTTGGAAACTCTTGCTCAAAAGTACGAAAGAAAAATTCAAGCGCTAGGGGAGAAAAAGAAAGAGAAGCTGGAAGCCTTATACGGACAACTGGTCAGCTGTGGAGAAAATCTTGACGCCTGCAGAGAGCTGATGGAAACCATAGAGGAGATGTGTCATGAAGAAAAGGTTGAGTTCTTAAAGGTCTGTGATGAAACATGAAAGAAAGGAGCAAACCTATGAGATGAAATCCCTGGTCTAGCCTAGGGTACGCCAGCCTACCCTCTCTCCTCCTGGAGGTCTGAGTTGACTGGGGTGATCAGCATCTGATGTTCATGGTGGGAAGCTGTCCCTCCATCTCTCCACATCATTAGTGGCCAAGCAGGTGGGAGCACACAGGCCTTTTGCTCCCACCGTTCCCCAGCTAGTTCCAAGCTTTGTTCCTCTGTCCCTTGATCACTGACTGTCCCCTTGATCATGGAGTTGAGTACAGACTGTATCCTGAGAGTTGCCTAGCTGCCTCCGATAGCTTCTCTTAGATCTCTGGGAGAAAATCGGCCCAGGTTAATAAGGTACTTTAAACTGCCCTGTGCCAAGAGTAGCAGTTGTAAATCTTACTTTATAACTTCACTCATTTGCACCCACAAATTTTTTTCTTAATTAAATTCAAATTACATCAGATCTGGCACAAACCTCATACAGCAGAGTTACAGAAATTTCAACCTCAGCTAGAGATCTCCCAAGGTCCCATGAGACAATGGGGCAGATGTAGCTGCTTTCACTAAGGGTTGGGGAGGATTCTTCAGAATCTTTCTAGATACCGAGTGTGACACCCTGATTGTCCAATTATAGCTTCTTCCTGTCACAGTTACGGTAAGAGATGCATGAACAAAGGTGAAAGGAAATCTGGCAGCTGCATGGGCGACACCAATGCTCTCATGGTGTCCCTGTATCTCCAATCCAGAGCATAGGAAACGATGCATTACTTATGACAGTGAAAACTTGTGGACAGCCACAGTGTCCTACAGCAGAGGAACTGTGTTTCCGTGAAAGCGTCCCTTCTAGTCTTTGTAGTGCCCCAAAGGACCCCATATGAACCAGGAGGTGCAGGAGTGTGGAGGGAAATGCTCAAGTATTGTATTTTATTAGTGTAATTTCTCCCTTTTCCTAATTTCCAATCTGAAAGGGTTTATTATATTGTTGGCAAAAATTATTTCTTCAATGAGTTTAATATTTTCTCTTCCTTTTCAGGATGCAGTGGCTATGACTGACAGGTAATATTTTTGTCCTGATTCCAGTTTCTTTTTCCATTTCTTTCACCTTCTAGATGCGTTTCCACCAGGCTATCTCTTTCCACCTTTCAGCTTCAGTGACCCTATAAATAAAATAGTGCTGGCTTCGCAATGGCGGTGTGGGGTCGGTGGGGCCCTTTGGTATTGAATCTTGTACTCTCTGGGCCAGAAGCGAACGTGTGTGGTGAGACACATTCCTATGCTCAGGTCCCCCTCACACACACGAGAACTTTGTTTCACTGGGAGAGCCTGAGAGCTGGAACAACTCCCCAGCTCTCCCCAGCCCTCCCCAGCCCTCCCCAGCCCTCCCCAGCCCTCCCCAGCCCTCCCCAGCCCTCCCCAGCCCTCGGTCATGTTGAGGCAGAAAGCATGCACATTTTAAAGGCAGATGCAACAGAGTGTAAATCCTGCTCCCACAGTGACCTGGGACAGGGGCAAGTCCAAGGCCCACCATCCCTATTTATAAACGGGCGGTTCTGTGGAAACTCAGTAAGACAGTGTCTGTAAAGAAAATAGCGGCTTAATACTGTAAGGGCCTACATGCATATGTTTTGGCAAAAATGGGCCTGGATTTCAAATTCTACCTTTGCCACTTAGAAAGCCTTGTGACTGCTGGGGAGTGGACACAAGACCATCCAGAGAGGTTCTTATCCTGTGAGTCGGGACCATCGGAAAACACCTATTTCCGATGGTCTTAGGATGGTCTTAGCAATGAAAATAATTGTATGGTGGGGTCATCACAACATGAGGAACCATATTAAAGGGCTGCAGCATTAGGGAGGTTGAGAACCACTGGTCTAGGGCTTCCGGAGCACCAACATGAGGGTACTTGACCACGTGGAATGCGAGTCTTGAGAGTAGAAACCCCAAGTCCGTGTGGAGATCCGGGATGATGTGGGACTGGAGAAGGTTGCCTCCTGCTGATGGATGAACTCCAACCTTAGGATCAACCCTTCCTCTTCCCCCGGGAAGGCTCAGACATGATAGATGGTTTGGATAGGAAGTGTTCCCTAAAAGGCTCATGGGTTGGAGGCTTCGGTCTCAAAGCAGCTACCATCGTAAGTGAGAACCCATGGAAATGGTTGGATTAGTAGAACTCTGACCTCATGAATGAGACTACTTTGGGGGGTTCATAATTCTATAGTGCAGTTGGGAGGTGCTGGAAATGAGGAGTTGGGGTGCCCTTGAAGGAAGTGGGTTACTAGAGGTTTGCCTTTGAAGGATGCACCTTGGTCCTGGCTCCTTCTTCTTGCCTCTCTCTCTCTCTCTGCTTCCTGGCTGCCCCCAAAATTCGAAGCTTTCCTCCATTTTGACCCGCCTCCACACACACAAAGTTTCCACCACAGGCCCAAGAGCAATGGAGCCAGCTGATCTTTGACTGAAAACGAGCCCTCCCTTTCAGCTGCTTATCTCAGGGATTTGTCAAAGCAGCAAACTACAGCAACCCCCAGGCCCATCATCAAGCCAGCAGAGTCCAGAAGCAGGTGAAGAAAGGCCAGTTTGGCAGAGGCCCTCTTCATTTACTGCTAGTGGCCTAGCTCTATAATATCCCCTAAGAAAGCCCTCCGTCTTTGTGGGAATTTGTGTCTTTTTAAAACCATGTATGAGTGTTTTGCCTACAAGTATGTCTGTGTACCATGTGGGTACCTGGTGTCCACAGAGGGCAGAAAGAGGGTGTCACATTTCCTGGAACTGGAGTTACAGGAGGGGGGGGGTGAACTGCCATTTGGGTGCTGGCAACTGAACCTAGATCCCTGGGAAGAATAACCAGTGTGCCTAACCACTGATCCCCAGCCCCTGGGCATGCCCTTTATGCCAACAGACTGGGGAAATTCCTAAAAACCAAAACAGACGTGGAGCTCTCTGCACAGCCTGAGTTTGAAGATCAGACCCTGGACTTCTCTGATGTGGAGCAGCTGATGGACTCCATCAACACCATTCCAGGTGTGACTCTGACCTGAGCATCTTCGCAGCAGCTTAGATGAGACAGAGAGAGGGAGGGGGGAGAGAGAGAGAACACCACTTGTGACATGAGTGGACCAAAATGGAGTCTAGTAAGCAAGATAAACCATCCACAGAAAGATAAACATCGCATGAGTCTCTTTCCGTGAGGTACCCGAAGTAGTCAAACCCATGGAATCAGAAAACAGAATGGTGGCAGCCCAGGACTGGAGAGGGAGAGATAGGGACTGCTCAGTGTGACAGCACAGCACCTGGAGCTAACAGTAACCATCACTTCCACACATGGTAAGGGGTAGATCTGATGCTAAGGGTTCTTAACAAACCTGTGCACATCCTCTCTCTCTCTCTCTCTCTCTCTCTCTCTCTCTCTGTGTGTGTGTTTGGGAGGGGGTGCATATTCACATACATTAATGTGCCTGTGGAGGCCAGAGATTGACATCAGGTGTCTTCCTCAACCACACTTCATTTTTTTTTGAAACAAGGTCTCTCTCCGGAGCTCCTGAGTTGTCTAGACTATCTGGACAGTAAGCTGGCAGGAATCCTCCTGTCTCAAAGGCATACATGACTGCTGCCTGGCTTTCTATGTGGGTGCTGGGGATCCAGACTCAGGTCCCCAGGCTTATTTGGCAAGTGCTTTTACTGATGGAGCCATCTCCTCGGCTTTCTTTCTCTTCTAAGGCTCAGCGGTACCACCATTTCTCTCTCCATTAATCTGTTGGTGGACACTTAGTTGTTCTCTTCTCTTGACCACTGTGAGTAAGGCTACCATGAAATGAATGTGCAAAATGTCTAGGATCCTGATTTCAACTCTTTGGATATACACGCAAATGTAAGATTGCTGACCCTTTGGACAGTTCTCTCCCTCACTCCTTCTGCAGTGCTGGGGATTGAACCCAGTAGCTCGTACCTGCCACACAAGTACTACATCTCTGGGTTACACTACCAGCCCTGCCCTCCTTTAAAGCCGGGGTCTTACTGAATCGCCCATGTAGTTTTGCACTTCTGGACTCGTGTGATTTCCTGGCCTCCTGGGTGTGACATTACAGACACTCACAGTTCCCTGTTAGTTTTTGTTGTTGTTGTTTTGTTTTGTTTTTGTGGTTTGCCATGCTCCAGGTTTCCTCGGGGGCTGTACAGAGGTACATCGCTGGCAGTCCCCACGGCTTCCTGTTCTCCAGATCCCTGCCAATGCTCGTCATCCTTTGCTTTCTGGGTGTGGCTAGTCTAGCAGGCATGAGGAGATAGCTTTTTATTGTTTGGGGGTTTTTGTTTATTTGTTGTTTTTAGTTTTGTTGAGACAGCATCTAACTCTGTCCCCAGGCTACTTTGAAACTCACAGCGTAGCCTAGGCTCACCTCACACCTGTGATCCTTCTGCCTCAGCCTCCCAGGTACTGGGATTCCAGGCATGCGACACCATGTATGGTCCTCGAGTTATGGTTTTGATCTGCATTTTCCTCATGTTAGTGATGCTGAGCACCAGTTCATACTTCTTGGTGGCAGTTTGTCTTTTTTGTTCACTTGTTTTCGAGACAGGGTTTCTCTGTGTAGCATTGGCTGTCCTGGACTTGCTTTGTAGACCAGGCTGGCCTCCCATTCACAGTGATCCACTTGCCTCTGTCTCCTTGAGCGCTGGGATTAAAGGAATGTGCCACCATGCCAGGCTCTTTTATGTCTTTTTCAGAAAACCCATGTTTACGTGCTTTGCTCATTTTAAAATGACATTATTTAGGGTTTTTCTGTTATCGTTGAGCTTTGGAGAGTCTTCGGTGTTTTGAATACCAGTTACAAATACCTCTTGCCTGTCCTCTATGGGCACCATGCATGCCCATAGCACACAGACACATACGCAGACAGAACACTCCCAAACACACACAAAACAATACAACAGAACAAAACCCGCCCACTCCCGTCCCACACCTACACATACAGCTCCTCCTTGTTTTCTCTCTCTTCCTTTTTTAGCTCCCTCTGCTCCGGTGATAAATCCCCAGGCGCCCAACTCAGCCACCGGCTCCTCAGTCCGTGTGTGCTGGAGCTTATACGCTGATGACACTGTGGAGAGCTATCAGCTGTCCTACAGGCCGGTGCGAGACAGCTCATCCGGCAAGGACCAAACAGGTAAGGGCTAGGGCCTGGAATGGCTGTCGCTGACCGGAACGCTTCCGGGAACGGCCCTTGCTCGCTGGTGGCGGCTCTGGGCCCATCTCCCCCGCCCCGGTGAAATGGCTTGAGCAGTAGCAGGGCGGGGGGTGGGGGGGAGCACTCTTCCGCCAATCATCCATCAGCCCTTCTCCTGTGGGCAGCGTCCTCGCTTTTCTTGTTGCTAAGTATCCGATGAGAAATAACTTTAAGAGGGGAGGGCTTAAGCTGGCTCACAGTTTGAGAGTACAGTCTGCCGTTGCAGGGAGGGCATGGTAGCAGGAGCAGCCGGTCACATTGTATCCCGGACCTCATCCCACAGGATAGTGGTATTCAGATTGGGTCATCCTCAGTCCCCGCCCCCCGGGTCACTCCTCCTCAGCTAAACCCCTTCGGAAAGGCATTCATAGACAAGCTTGTCTCCTCAGTGACTCTAAATCCCATTAAGAGGACTCATCATAGGCCAGCTTCCTGATAGTATATCAAATAGCACAGGTGAATCAACTTTTTATTGTTGTTCTTGTTTTTTTGAGACAGGGTTTCTCTGTGTAACAACCCTGCCTGTGCTCGAACAAGCTCTGTAGACCAGTCTGGCCTTGAACCCACGGAGATCCACCCCTCTCTGCCTCCCAGGTGCTCTCATGAGTGCCTTTTGTCGATAGATCAACTTTTAAGGAGGGCATTTCAGTTTTAGCTCATGGTTTCCGTCTTTAATGCCACAGTACATCACAGCAGAGTGTGGCAGAGCAACTGGTCATCCGATAGCATCAGTGGAGCCAAAACACAGGGAGGGGCTAGGGTACCAGTGTTCCTTTCAATGACATGTCCCCAATGCCCTATCTTCCTACAATAACGCCCCACCTCCTAAAGGTTTCACCACCTCCTGGAGTCAGAAGCTAGCAACAGCCTTGAACGCACAGCTGTTGGGCAGCACGTCCTTAAACCATAACCATGATCTCCCACAAAAGGGAGATCAGACTGCAAAAAACCTGCCTCCCAAACTCCACATGGCTTACATAACCAGGGTTTGGTCCCGCTAGGTCGGTCTGTCCAGTGTGAGTTGGGTCAGAGTGAGGTTTCTGGGCTTTGATAGATAAGGATGGTGGAGGCTCAGAGAAAAACGAGCCATCTGTGGGTCACAGTGAGCTGTGGCAGAACCAGGCTCCTTGCCCAGAGCACTGTTCACCGTTCCAGGCTGTGCAGGTGGGGGCTCTGGGTTAGGGAGGTGACAATGACAGCATTTCAGCCCAGGGGCCAGGAAGGAGGAGGAAGGTTTGTTTGTGTAATTATTTTTTATTATTTGAAACTTTCATACATTTCTACAATGAATATTGATTTGTCCATCAGGCCTCCTCCCCTCCAGCTCCTCCTAGAGCCCCCACCCCATCTCTCTTCATGTCCTCTTTTTAGTTTTGGTTTTTTTTTTTTTTTTTAAAGATTTATCTATTATGTATACAGTATTCTGCCTGCATGTACACCTTCATACCAGAAGAGGGCACCAGATCTCATTATGATGGTTGTGAGCCACCATGTGGTTGCTGGGAATTGAACTCAGGACCTTTAGGAAGAAGAGTCGGTGCTCTTAACCTCTGAGCCATCTCTCCATGTGCTCGCCCTATGCATATGGGCATATGGCCATCACTGGGGCATGAGAACCTACCAGTGGCCCCATTCTCGGAGACAAGCGTCTCTCCTTCCTTCAGATGCCATCAGCTGCCCATAGTTCCTTCACGAGGGGGTGGGGCCTCCCGGGCCCATCCCTGACCCATTTGACCGGCTAGATCTATGCAGGTAGCCACAGCTGCTGTTAGTTGATTGTGCAATTGCCATATCCTGTCTAGAAGTCAGTCAGCATTTCACAGCTTTCTTCCCCCATTTCCCCCCTCTTATTTGAACTTCCCTGAGCCTTGGATGGTGGGACATTGATATAAGATGGCCAAACAACAGCTAAGCACTCAGAACTATTGACATGTTTGCATTCAGCATTTTGACCAGTTAGGAATCTCTGCATTAACCATTACCCACCGTAAAAAGAACCTTCTCTGGCCAAAGTTGACAGCAGCACAAATCTATGGGTTGCAGACATAAATATTTAGAGTGCAGCCGATAACATGACCATTTATCAAAATGACAACAGTAGGTTCCCCACCAAGGTCTATAATCTCCCTAGTCATGGACTCTTGACCAAGTTTCTACGACCAGGTATGAAATCGTTCCTGTGGAGCAGATCTCACAACCTATCAGAAAGTGGTTGGTTAACCTCCTAACTATCAGGCCGCTATAGCACCAATGAGTATATTTGCCAGTAGGTTAGTGCTATAGCATGAATGCTCCAGTGCCGGGAAAGATCACTGATGTATTTTTTCCCCATAGCAGCCTATATAGGACCTTCTGGCACTGTGAGGGCTAGCCAACAGGAAGGAAACTTCCATCCTAGCTCCAACTTGATCTTTCTAGGCTCTGTGAGGTCATCTGCTGTCTCCAGCAACAGGATGTTACCATCTAGTCCTGACGGGCATCAAAGCAGTGAAAAATCACCTGTATTGTTTACGGAGTCTCAGAGAGCGCTCTGACCAATAACTCTCAGGAAAGTAGCTGTGGCGGTTTGAATGAGAAATGTCCCCCATTGGCTCAAGTCCCCCATTTCAACATTTGGCCGGTGGTGCTATTTGGGGAGGTTCAAGATGTAGCCTTGCCAGAGGAAGTAAGTGGCCGGGAGTGGGTCCTTGAGAGTATGTAGCCTCATCCGACTTTGAGTTCACCTCTCTATCCTGCGCTTGTGGTTAAGGATGTGCGTATTCGGCTTCCTGCTCCAGCGCCTGCCCGCTTCTGTGCCTCCCTACCGCAAAGAACTCTTCCCCCTCTGAAACCACAAGCCCCAGCAAGCTCTCTTCCATAAGTAACTCTTGGTGGCATTGTTTCATCATAGCAACAGAAAAGTAACCAATATAGTAGCCTACTCCTAAAACTGATTCTCATTAAGGACATCCGGCTTCTGAGAGAAGTTTTATTCATGCATGCAGGGCATCATCATCATCATCATCATCATTTACCAAGTAACAGATTTGTGATTTTTTTATACCTTTCAATTGGTTAGATTTATGAGAGAGGGTCTAAGTAGCCCAGAGTGGCCTTGAACTTCACAGCTATCCCCCTGTCTCAGCCTCCTTACAGATGTACATCACTTTGTCAATTAGTTTCTGCTCTGTGACAACACTTCCTGCCCCTAATCTGGTGGCTTAAAATAATGCATATTTATTGTTTAATAATTTTATGGGTTGGCTAGACAGCTCAGGTCTGAGACCCCTTGAGTGCAATCAGACCAAGGTGGCTTTATTCATTATGATGGTTAATCTCCGTTGTCAAGGTGAGGGATTTAAAACCACCACAGAAACACACCTCTGGGTGTCTCCAGGAAGGTGTTTCCAGGAAGGTTTAACAGAGCAGGCAAAATCCACCCTGAATGGGAGTGGCACCATCCCACGGGACCTGGTCCCAGGCTGATTAAAGAAGAGAAAGCAAGTTGAGCACCAGGCTTAGCTCTCTGCTCCCTGAGCCTGGATACGATGTGAGCAGCTGCTTCACCTTGCTGCCATCTTACCTTCCTGCCCCAGTGGGAACCTTCCTTCCTTAAGTTGCTTTTTATCAGGTAAAGGTAACAAAATCTTCCCTTCTGGCCTTAGCTGGGACAGCTGGTGCAGGGAGGGGAGGAGGGCTTTTTTTGAACTCTTGAAGGTATCCTCAGGCTCTTTCATATGTGGTAAAAGCATTCCTCCCAACAGGGGCATGGGGGGGCAGGTCCCTCACTGTGTCCCAAGCCTCTTCTTGTGTCATGTTTGTCACTGAACCACTGCTAAGGTGGTCACCAAAGTAAGCTCCACTTTAAGCACTGGTGAAGCAGCCAGAGCCTCTCAACGCATGCTGTGGGGTTGTGCTGGTAGAGGAGGGAGGAAACAGCAGCCCAGGGACACAGTAATGCTTGAATTCTGTTTTCTTTTTCTTCCAGAGTTCTCCATGACAGTCAAAGAAACATATTGCTCAGTGACAAATCTTGAGCCAAATACCCAATATGAATTTTGGGTCATAGCTCAGAACAGGACTGGTCCCAGCCCCTCTAGTGAGCACGCAGTGTATATGACAGGTACTGAGTTGTTCCTTTTCATTCAAGGGGACACAGGATGCAGGTTTCTAGATGGGACTGGGTTTTCCATTTCATTTGAAAGGACAGAAGGAGCTGTGTGTGGTGACTTTCTTTCTGTGCCTCCTTGAATGCACTAGATCTACATGCCTGGTGTGGCGGGGGCATTTTTTCGTGGTCAGTCTGCAACTTACAGCACAGTTACGCTGTCACTTAGGACTTGTATTAAGTTACTGTGCCCACGGCAACTTAAAGGAGGGGTTTATTTGAGGTCACAGTTCCTGAGGGATGAGAGGCATGGCAGAGACGTGGCAGCAGGGACAGGGGCAGGAGCAGGAAGATGAGGACTCACATCCTGAACCGCAAGTGCGAAGCAGAGAGAGTGAACTTGAAATGGTGTGTCTTTACGTCCTCAAAGCCTGCCTACAGTGACACACATCCTCCAACACCTCCTAAAACTCTCCAAACGGGGCTACCGGCTGGGACCCAAGCACTCCAATACCCTAGACTATGGGGACTATTTATTATTCAGTCCTCAAGCCCAGGAATGTCTGAAAGGGGTTCCCAGGCACTGCTGTGGTATTTGTCCACAGCTCCAAACAAAATGACTGGAACTGAACCCAACGGTTGCTTGTGTCCCCTTTCTCCCGTGCTTAGCCCCCTCGCCTCCCACTATAAAAAGAGAGGCAATCAGAAGCTGTGAAGAGGCTGCTCTAATTTGCTGGGAGTCCGGGAACCTGAATCCTGTGGACTCCTACACGGTGGAGCTGATCCAGGCAGAAACGCCAGAAGCCTCGGGGGTGACAGAGTGAGTCCTGAGGCCTTCCCCCCCCCCCCCCCCCCCGTTGCTAAAGCATTTGCAGTATGGGGACAAGGTCACAATTTGTGACACATAGCAATCTTAATTAGGTTTCTCAGGGTTCCCAAGAAGTGGCTAGACCGTTATTATTGATCATGAATGATGATTACAAGTGGTGAAACACTATCTTCTTCTTTTTTTTTTTTTAATCCAGTTAGGAGCTGGGAGGAGGCACAGTGGGTAAGAGTGCTTGCTGTACAAGTCTGAGTGTCTGAGTTAGGACCTCCAGCACCTGTGTGGTTCTGGGTGTGAGCTGGGTGTGGCTACTCACCTGTAACCCCAGTTGTTAGCAGGTAGAGACAGAAGGATTACAGCGTCTTACTGGCTGCTAGCTCCAGCATCAATGAGAGACTCTGTCTCAAAGGAATAAGGCAGAAAGTGACAGAGAACACTTGATGTCCTCCTCTGCCCTATGTATACACATAGGTACATATATCTGCCCACACCCATGTGCGCACTCGCGCGCACATACACACATACACACACACACACAGTTTAATGAAATTAAGATTTATCTTTGGGGCAAGCATGGTGTCACATGCCTGTTAACTCAGAACTTGGGGGGCTGAGGCAGAAGCATTGCCAAGAGTTTGAGGATGGCCTGGGCTATAGAGTGAGGCCTCATCTCAAAACAACAATAAAAGCAAAACTATCTGGGGGTGCGGTGCATGCCTGTAATCCCAGAATTTGGGAGGTGGAGGCAGGAGGATCAGGAGTTCAAGAGCTTCCTCATCTGTATAGCAAATTCAAGCCCAGCACAGGTCTGAGACCCCACCTTAAAAAAAAAAAAGAAAAGATTCCTTTTCATTCGTGTATCAATAACTGAGAAATTCAAGGTAGTGGAGAACTAGAAAGAGACATTTTTTGCCCTAAGGAACTCATGGTGCAGGGAGGAAAATAAGTATAAGCAAGCCACAAACTACGTGTAAAGCACACAACTTGGGGAGAGAACAAAGGATGACAGAAAGAAGGGGGGGTGGAGGCCTCTTCTTTGATGTTTAAACTGAGTCTGGGATAGGAGGACTGAACCCGAGAAGGGCAAGAGTGGGCCAGGTTTTTTGGGGAGAGAAGGACTTCGTAACCATGACCCTGGGGACAGGAGTGGGCTGGATATACTTCGGGAACTGGGACTAATGTGATTGAAATTAGAGCATGAGGGAGAAGGACACCAGGGTGACAAAGGAGACTCAGTGTACAATGTACGAAGGATTGGAAGGCTGTCCGGAGGCCTCCCCACCAGTCTGAGAGTGAGGTCCTTTACAAGCCTATGAGAACTGGGCATGGTAGCTGCCAGGGTCTATGGGCCCTGAGAGTTTACAACAGGACACCACAGAGGAAGTATGGCTACTTCGGGCTTAGAGCCAGGCAGTCCTAACACTTACAGATCAGTCGCCTAGCTGAACAGTTGTTTTTAACAGAGTCGTCTGCTCACAGACATACACTGAAAGGCTGTTACGGGTCCAGGACTGTCCTTCCGTGTACTCGGTTCTGCCCTCAGGAAGGTCGTGGCCCTAACAGCCAGAGACAGACACAGGGGGCATACTCGGTAAACGCCCCAGTAGACATGGTAAGCACAGCGCGGGGTGCTTGGGTCACCTGGCTGAGGAGCTCGGAAGGGAGACAGGCAGACACAGACTGGCAAGTAAGCTGTGAGCTGTGGGAGGTCTGCGCAGGAAGCCCATCCTCATCCTGCGCTGCTGTGGGCCAGAGGACCACGGGTGGGAGAAGAGTGTCTGGTGCTTGGGCTGGTGCTGACTGTCTCTCTGCTCCTGTGCACAGATCTGTGGTCGGCATCCCGACCTGTGAGTCCCTGATACGGCTGCAGCCTGGACACAGCTACACAATCTACATTCGAGCCCTCAATGTCGGGGGCACCAGTACCAGGAGCAAGCCTGCTACCGTGGGCACCACAGGTCTGTGCCCCAGCCACACACTCTGGGAATCAAAATTAGCCATTTGGTTGCAGCCTCAGTGCTGCTAAGAGCACATCAGAAAACATGTTAACTATCACCTTATGCACAGATGGGGCATCCAAGGGGCTCCTCGGTCATCAAAGCCCTTGCTCTCCTTTTATAGACGGAGACCCAAGCCCCAGAGAACTTGGGTTGCCTGAGCTAGCACTAGAACTCAAGGCTATCTCTGTGCCACTCAGGTACCAAAGGCTGTTCCACTGGATCTGTTGTGGCCTATAGATTTCTTACCTCACTGGTTTTTCGGTTTTGTTTGGTCTTACTATGTGGCTCAGGCTGGTCTGGAACTCATTATGTAGTCAAGCTGACCCAGAACTCAAGATGATCCTCTTGCCTCAAGCCTTGTCAATGCTGGGCATCACAGGTGTGAGCCCGCACACCTGCCTTGGAAGAGAGTTTTTATGACACTCTCCAAGAACTGCAAGCAGCCATGGCCACCTCCCTGCTCCCACTGTCATACTGAGCACCTCCCCACTTCAGTTAGAAGCCAACTGAGCCTCCCCACTGCCTCCACGCTCTGACCTTGCTCTGACCATACTGGGTGCTTCTCATCTGCCTTCAACCTGTCCCGTAAACTCGTCCTGAGTGAGCAGAGACCTCATTAGAAACATCTGCTACCACTGTCACCACCCCCGCCCTGAGCAATGCTACAGCACCACGACCTGAGCATTTTCTGAGGCCTCCTCCGGAAGTCTCACAGAGCAATCCTGTTCCAGCCAGTTGAGTGGGTGGCCCCCAGGTGAGCAGCGGAAGCAGAGAGCCCAGCCAGGGTTTGGGGAACGAATTTCCCTTGACTGGGATCTTTTACTGAAACACACTGTACCTCTTTGTCCCCGTTTCCATTGGCAGGAGGAGAGGTCTGAAAGTGACCCACATCTCTATTCCTGTCACATAGATGGGAAAAGCAAGTTGGCTGGTTTGAAATAGCAGATGCTTGCTCTAAAAAGCAAAAAACAAACAAACAAACAAACAAACAAACAAACGATGACACCGAGAGCAGGGAACAAAGGTACAGCCAGCTCTGTTATCTTTCAGAGGCTGAAGCAGGAGAATTGCTACAAGTTCAAGGACAGTTTGTGCCACAGATGAGCCTGGGCTACAGTATGAGACCCTGTCTAAAAACAAAAACAAAACAAAACAAAAACAAAATACAAGTTCCCTCAATTTTTTTTTCCTTGGGCAAGGTTAGAAACTCTTACTCAGGTATAAACACTCAGCCTGCAAATTCAAAACCTGGTCTCTGGAATCAGAAGGGTGAGTAGTTCAATCTGACATCTATCACTTACCAGCCTATTTCTTAACCACCTGTGCCTTGGTGTCCTCATCTACAAAATGAAGACAGTAACACCCCTGTCTAGGTATGGCCACAAGGCCTCAGGGAGATAAGATGTGCAAACTGCATGGCAATAATTGTACAAGTCCTGCCCCACAATGTGGCCACCCTATTCACAGGTTGGTCATGGCTCTGTCCGGGGAGGGCTTCTGTGGCTCCCTCAGGAAGAAGCCATGTGCTTGGCTAACGCCACTAGGCCATGTTAGGAAAGTCCTGCAGCAACTGGTTGGGGCTTCTCTCTCTCCATAGGAAGCTACTTCCAATTGAACAAGGACAGCTGCCACCCCTGGCTGACCGTTTCTGAAGATGGCTTGACAGTGGTTCGAAGTGAGAAGAGAGCTTTCAGAAGGGAGCCGCCACCCAGCAAGACGAAGTTTACCAGGTAGCTGACTGCCTCACCACTGCCTGCCGCAGCCCCACCATGGAGCACTCGGAAAACTTAACCTAACGCCACTGCCACTGCTGTTCAAAGGAAGTGAGATTATGGCCAAAGGATGCAGCTGATGGGGAGGGACTCCGCCCAGGGAGGTCCCAGGCTGTGGGGACGATGGGGTCTGGGCAGGCTATCAGGGCACATAGCACAGAGACAGACCCCAGGCACTGACCGCTTTCCCCTGTCGCCGTGAAGGTTTCCCCTTAGGTCAGCGGTTCTCTGTGGATTGAGACCCCTCCGGATGTGGAACGACCCTTTCACAGGGATCGCCTGAGACCATCTGAAAACAGAGCTATTATGTCACTATTCACAACAGTAGCAAAATTACGCTCATGAAGTGGCAGCAAAAGTAATCTTACGGTTGTGGGTCGCCACAACGTGAAGAACTGCATTGAAGGACTGCAGCATTGGTTAGGCTGAGATACACTGCCTTAGGTCTTGTCTTCTCGGAGGAGAGTTCTCCCAAGAGCACAGTGTGGCAAAGCGATGCGCGTGCTGCGGAGCTGGAGGGAGGGGGCCACAGCACAGCGGCTTCTTTTGTAGCTTCTTAATGAGTTCTGTGAATATTTACGAGTCAGGTAGCCTGTTCCTAAGGTAAGGTGACTCCTTTCCCTCCCAGTCAAGGTGGGCCTGCTCTCCTTTTTAGTGTATTTCTTCTGAGCCTCCAGAAAAGCCAAGAGGAGTCAAAATCATGACGCAAGTGATGCCTGACGCCCGGTTTTCTAAGGGTTCAGCTCCTTCACCAGTGCACATGTGTGGCAGTTGGGGGAAGCATCCTAGCTACTTAGTTTCTGGTGGAGCAGGAAGAATTGACTGCAGCCGAAAAATATTTACCTTTTCGCCCTCCAGGATCGCCAGTCCCTCTCAGTGCCTTACATCTACCTGTTTGCCTGACCCATCACCCTCACACCAAAGATCACATCTCCCTTAGACCAATGTGGTGGAGTGGGCCAGTGCTAAAGCCAGTACAGCAAACTTGGTACTTACACAAGACCTGAAGGCAGGGCGTGCCCGAGGGGCTGTCTGTCTGTCCAGCTTGCTCGCTCCTTCCGGAGCTCAGTATATTATGCTGAGCTTTTTACTTAAACTATTTTTTTTTTTCTCCAAGGAGTTATACAAGGCTTAAAACAGGGATTGGAGAGATGGCTCAGAGGTTAAGAACACTGGTTGCTGAACTTCCTGAGGTCCCAGGTTCAATTCCCAGTGACCACCTGATGGTTCATAAACATATATAATGAGATTTGGTGCCCTCTTCTGGCCTGCAGGCATACATGCAAGCAGAATACTGCATACATAACAAATAATTTTTTTTAAAGGGGAGCTTTAATCGGGAGAAAAATGAAAGCAACAGAAGAAAAGGGAGGGATTAACTGCCAAGGCTAAATCAATTTCCAGGCTTAAACAGTAAATAAAGCCTCTCTACTGTCTAGTAGGGGCAAAAACTAGAGTTCAGAGGATCTGCTGAGGAAGAAAGTAGCTCTCTGGTCCTCAGCAGCAGCTGGAGACACAGCTCCATGCTGCCAGCCTGACCAGCCAGAGGAGGCCTCTAATCAGGTGAAGCCCAGATCCAATCACAGACAGTTTCAGAACTCGTCAATATTCGGTAAAGCTGGAGCGTACTAGAAGCCTTTCCCGTAGATTAAGCACAGGTTGGAGGGTCAGGTGGAGGAGTTTGAAGAAAGAACTGTTGCGTGTGCTTATGGAGGTGCAGGTGTGCCGAAGCAAGTCCCGTTGAAGAGGGTTTTCAGTTTATTTTTGAGAAAATCTCGTGTAGCTGTGGACGAGCGTGGCTGTCTCATCTTCATGCCTCTGCTCCCCGGGCACGGGACGCCAGGTGGTACCCCGCCACACCTGACTCTGGAAAATGCTTTTGACCATCCCTCTGTGCAGGTCCTTCTTAGCTGGTCTAGCAGCTCATCTTGAGACATGAGAGAACCTAGGAGCCATTGTCTTGGCTCTTTGAGGGGTCCAGCTGAGCTAGGTAACCCCATTTTAATCTGCAATGGCCACGCTGCGAACAGGGGTGGAAGGAGAGGTATTGTCCCTGCTCTCGGCTGGACCCTTTAGGCAGGGACTCTTCAGACATGCCTATGAACGAGGAAGCAGAGGCACGCAAGGCCGTCCTCATGTGCTTTCCATTGCTGTCACCACGACCAAGAGCACCTTGGAGGGGAAAGGTCTCATTTCATCTTACACCTTCCAGTCTACCACAGCGGGAAGTCAGGGTAGAAACCTGGAGGCGAGAGCTACAGTAGAGGCCCGGGGAGAACACTGCCTCCTGGCTTTCTCCCCACGGCCCACTAAGCTACCTTTCTTACACAACCCAGAACTACCTTCCCAAGGGTGGCACTGCCCACAGTGGGCTGAACTCCCTCACAACTGTCACCAACAAGAAAATCCCTAATGAAGCTGCCCACTGGCTGATCTGATGGTGGCTTTTTCTCAACTGAGGCTCCCTCTTTCCAGGTGACTCTTGTTTGTGAAAAGTTAACAAAAACAAACAAACAAACAAACAAACAAAAACTAACTGGCACAGAGACCCTAAGGAGGATTTCTTGGGAAGGCTGTGTTTTGGGAGCTGACAGGGCAGGTAAAGACTTTGAACACACACACACACAAACATGGAAGCCAGAAGACCCTGTTTAAAGAATGACATACATACAAGTAGGCTGGCAGGCATGCTGTACTGGCCCATACAGGTAGAGGCAAAGCAGGAAAAATTGATAAAATAGTGCCCCTGGAGTCCTACTCTTTAGATGGTAGGAATTATTGAAGGACTCAATGAAGAACGGTACCCCTATCGAATTTACCTTTCGGAAAGAGCACAGTCCATGGAAAGGTTGGGGATAGGAGGGGCAGAGACTGGTAGATGGGGACCAAGAAGCCCTGATTAAGGAGCAGCAAAGTGGATGAGCAGAGCCCATACATTCAGCAGATGCTTAGGGAGGAAAACCAGGCTGAGGACAGCAGAGTGGGGGGAGAGGGGCCGTACAGCCACTGCCATGATGTGCTGGATGGCTTCAGTCCCTTCCATAGGTTATCTTTTTTTTTTATTAATTAATTTATTTTTATTTTATGTGCATTGGTGTTTAGCCTGCATGTGTCCGTGTGAGGCTGTAAGATCTTGGAGCTACAGACAGTTGGTTGTGAGCCACCATGTGGGTGCTGGGAATTGAACCCTGGTCCTCTGGAAGAGCAGACAGTGCTCTTAATTGCTGAGCCATCTCTCCAGCCTTCCATGGGTTATCTTATTCAGTGATCGTGACAACTTTTCTAGGGTCGGGTGCTCATCAAGCGATTTGACAGATGAGAAAACTGAAGGGTTTTGGGTTAAATTACAAGTTGAATGTGTAGCTACAATGGTATTCCTGTCACCAGTCTTGGGAATCTTAGTTACCAAGGTGTGGAGGCCAGACAAGCTCAGGTGTTCTCAGGAACCGTCCACCTTGTTTTTGAGACATGGTCTTACTACTCAGCTAGTAGGGTAGGCAAGCTAAACCACCCTACCAGCTTTATGCCTTCCTGTCTTCCGTCTCTTCCCTTCCTTCCTCCCTTTTCAAGACTTGTCCTCTGTGTAGCCCTGACTGTTCTGGAACTTGCTCTGTAGACCAGGTTGGCCTCAAACGCAGAAATCTACCTGCCTCTGACCCCTGAATGCTGGGATTAAGGAGTGCACCACTGCCCAGCTACTTTATGTGTTTTTAAATTGTATTGTTTTGTGTGTGTGTACAAGTGTTGCCTGCATGTATGTCTGGTGCAGATCCCTGGAGTCAGACTTCTGAGCGACCATCAGTTACTGAGAAACACAGTGGTTAAGTACTCTTAACCTCTGTGCTATCTTTCCCGCCCCCAGCTTTATTTTTTCACAAAGGTTCCAAGCCTTGAACTTAGGTCCTCATGCTTAGAAGGCAAGGAGCTATCCCCGCAGCCCCCAAACAGTGAGTCTGTTAACCAAAAGGATGATTTGAGAGGTACAGAGCCCTCTCTGCTACACTTTAATCAGGGGCTCTAGGTGGTGAGAGAAGTGGGCACTGAATTTGTGACGGGACATGTGGGCTGCCTTCCCAAAGCTTTGCCTGGGCGATCACACAGGAGCTTAAAGAGCAGAAGAAAATGTTCAAAGCTTGGACAAGTCTTCCAGTCATGTTGGAGACCACATAAGGTCTGGCTAGCTGGCATAGGGATCTTGACATAGATGTTAACGTTGGAGGTTCAGGTGTGAAACGACTTGCAATGAAAACCTTCTGTTGAGCACTTGGCTGTGGACCGGAATGCCCCTTTGAACTGTCCAGGATGATGGCCAGGGGTCGGTTCTGATGATGGGCAGGAATTTGCTATCTTGCTTTTGGGTCACCCTCTGAATTCTTTTCAAAGTGTTTCGGGTCATCCTCACTATTAGTGTATGTGATGTACATGTTTGAGTACAGACACACATGTGCCATGGCACTCGGAGGGGACCAGAGGACAACACTGTGGAGCTGACTGTCTTTCCACCTTCTGTAGGAGCTGGTGGTGGGACGTGGGTCACAGGATTGCCCAGCAGATACTTTTATACCTCTGGAGTCTTGTCACCCCTCAGAGGTGACACAATACCTCAGAGATCCTCTGGCCAGTCACGGACTTCAAGCATATGGTGCCTTAACTGCTGTGCTGCAAGTTTTCAGTCCCTCCCGTCTTGTAACGAATCCACCTTCATTACTAGAAATGCCTTTGCCATTTTAAAGAGGCAACAGAACCTGTTGTGTAGGCTTTCGTGCTGCCTCGTCCATTGCCACAGTGTACCAGTCCGGGCTTCAGCATTAGCTATGCTTGTGCCGCCCTAAAGGAAGTGTGTTCCCACCTTTTAAAAGAACTCAGAATCTTATTCATGCTACACAAGAACCCTGACACCCAGACCACGCTTCTGCTTTCTAAAACCAGGTGTGCTGCTGTCATGGGAAATCTCATTCCAGTCCGAGGACGCCATTACTGGGAGGTGGAGGTAGATGAGCATTTGGACTACACCGTTGGTGTGGCCTGTGAAGATGTCCCTAAACAGGAAGACCTGGGAGCTAACTGCTTGTCCTGGTGCATGAGGCATACATTTGCCTCCTCAAGGTAAAGTCAATCTGGACTCCCAAAGGGAGGATTTGAATGACGCAAGAAAGAGGATTTTATCCACAGTAATCAAGGCACACAGATTTGCCCGGAAAACAGTCTCAGGTATTCTAAGAGGCGTGGCCATCTACTTCTGAAAGAGAAAGGACCAGCTAAAGCTCGCAGTGTGCTCTCCAGGTCCCAACAGTGTCATCTCGTTTTTCCCCTTTGAGTCAGGGTCTCAAGGGTCTCAGGTCTCTGGGGCTCACTGTGTAACTCTGGGTAGGCTGGAACCTACTATGTAGACCAGGCTGGCCTTGAACTCAGAGAGTTTCATCTGCTTCTGTCTCCCAAGGGCTGGGATTAAAGGTGTGCTCCACCATGCCTGGCCCATACTGTCCTCTGCTTTTATGGTGCAGTCAAAGGCCACCCTCACAGCAGCTGGATAATCCACCCACCATGAATGGTCAGAACTTGGATCCCAACACAGGCAATTTGGCTCCACAAGTGCAGTGCTTAACCACTGTCTCTCTCTCTCTCTCTTTTTTTTTCACTTATGCTCTGCTCCCGTGTTTCATCCTCAGATCTTCTGTGCAAGCCCAATTCCATCTTAAATCAGTGTGGCTAAGAGTTCCCATACCGTGACTTCTGCGGTTAAGCACTGCATAGAATAGCTGTGCATGGAATGGTTCCATAGGTGCGCAGGAAAAAAAAAATTCCAGAGTCCTGGCCAATTCACAGAATGTTTGGACTTACAAGGCCATGGCAACCACCTTCCTTCACTTGAAAACTTGCAACACAAAACACACATGCACGCACCCAAGTCCCCTACCACCTTCTAAGTACCTCTTGTAAGATGCAGCCTTACATCTTACAAGGTGGTGGTGGTACATGCCTTTAATCCCAGCACTTGGGAGGCACAGGCAAGTGGATCCCTGAGTTCGAGGCCCTCCTGGCCTACAGAGTAAGTTTCAGGACAGCCAAGGCTACACAGAGAAACCCTGTCCAAAAAACAAAAAACAAACAAACAAACAAAAAAAACCTAGCCTCTGACACTTTCTGGATTGATGAAGCTTGCCCAGAACCATCCATTATATTAGGAGGTTATTGGTTGGGTCAAGCATTAAGAGAACAGCAGCTTTCCTCAGAAAAAGATCAGATAGGAGTGGACTCTGCTAACCCACAGAACCACTATAGGGATGCCAGAGTTGCTCTGAGAGAAGCCAGGTACTTAATCTGAGCTAAGGATAAAGGTCAAAGGCTTCTTTTGTTTCAAAAGAGCAAGGGTCAGAGTCAAGAAGACAAAGGAAGCATGGGAGTTATGTGATGGGAGTTGGGAGCATGGGAGTCCAGATTCCAACTGCAGAGTGAAGGTGGGTGGGGCCGACAGAAGTTTCTAGCAATCATGTCGGGAGGGGAGAAGGGAAGCGGTAGAGATGAGGATAAACCCTTCAGTAGACCGGTGGTTTTGGTGCATAGTCTTGAGTCTGGGCTGTTTAGTGTGAAGGAGTGAGAAGGCGAACAGAGGTGGAGACCAGCTGGCTTGCTGACACTTAAATGTTGATCTAGGGAGTCTGAACCAACATACCAGACAACGTGGGTCTTCAGATGTCTGTGGCTCGTTTTGATTTTGGCCACTTTCCAAAGCACACAGGCCCACAGAGCGACAAGGGTACAGGCAGTGCTTGGCACTCGCCCGTGACAGCCAGGTGACCGCAGCCCCTGCTCAGTCGCAAGTTTAAGAACAGGATGCTATGGAGTCCTGGTTCAGTTTGTAGAGAAGGCCCACAAGGCTCCTCATTTTAAATGTCTTTATTCCAAATGAGTCACACACCAATTTCCTCTTTCTAGGTAAATTCTGACGCAGTGAAATTCACGGTTTTATATAAAAGCTTTTTAGGCACAGCGTTCCCTCAGGAAGAAAGTCCAAACTGTGTTTTAGGACTAATGTTAGAAAAAGGTAGTTTGAAAATGTCATGTTACAGTGGGGCATGGTGGCGCACAATCCCAGTACTCAGGGAGGCAGAGGCAGGCAGAGGCAGGCAGATCTCTGTGGGTGTGAGGCCAGCCTGGTCTACAAAGAGAATCCAGGACAGGCAAGGCTAGACAGAGAAACCCTGGCTTGAGTAAATGAAACCAAAACAGACAAACAAAAAAGAAAATGTCGTATTACTTGGTAGTCACTGATTACAAGGGACCAAATAGAAGGAGTATAAATTGAGTCAGTATGAAGCACTCTGCAAACAGTTCACCTATAGTTTCCAAAGCTTTGTTGTATCAACGTTGAATTTTCAGGCACCGGTATGAATTTCTGCACAACAGGACAACTCCAGACATAAGAATCACAGTTGCTCCGAAGAAGATCGGCGTCCTGCTAGACTATGAAAACTCCAAGCTGTCCTTTTTCAATGTGGACCTTGCACAGCACCTGTACACATTTAGCTGTGAGCTTCACCAATTTGTGCATCCCTGTTTTTCTTTGGAAAAGCCTGGATGCCTCAAGATCTGCAATGGCATTTTAATGCCAAAGCATGTCACTTTCTTTTAGGCCCTTCTGATGTTGTTTCCGGCCTTTCTTCTGTTCTCTCCCTCAGCCCCCTCACATTGCTGGCTGAACTTGGTATTCATGTTTCCTTCAGCCAGTACACACGAAAGCTCTAGTGGACGGTGTACTGGAACCCACTTCACCTGATGTGGATACATGCTGTGTGCGGCTCCCTACGTGATGCTTGGAGGGCCATTATCAGGCCAGGCTGTTAAAAGAGCAGTCGGGCTCTGAGCTCAAAGGGCTCCTGTGGGGTCAAACTACAGTTGTCTGTTTGTGGATATATAAAATATTTTGAGTCTCCTAAGTCTAGAGGATCAGGGAAGCCATAATGGAGGCAGCAGCCCCTGTATTTGTGACATTTCACTCTTTATCAAGAACAAGAACAGACTTCCTAAGGCAAGAAACTGCAGAGAAACAAGTCGGGTGTCCGTCTCAAGGCCGTCGTGGTGGGTTGAGTGAGAATCCCCCCAGAGGCTCATGTATTTGACTGCTTAGTCAGTGGGGAGTTGTACTAGTTGAAAAGGATTGGACTGATTAAAAGGTGTGGCCTTGTGGGAGGAGGTTGTGCTTTGAGGTTTCAAAAGCCCATGCCAGGCCGAGTGTGTGTGTCTGTCTCTCTGCCTGTGAATCAGGATGTGTCTCTCAGCTACTGCTCCAGCACCATGGCTGCTGCTATCCTTCCAGCATGCTTCCTGCCATGAAGACAATGGACTAAACCTCTGAAACTGTGAGCAAGCCCCCAATTACATGTTTTCTCTTCTAAGTGCTGCTCTGGTCATGGTGTGTCTCTCCACAGCAACAGAGCAATGACTAATACAGAAGTTGGTCCACAGACTGCTCTAACGGGCCTGACCACGCTGTTTGTTGGAAGAATATGAAAGACATTGGGACTTAGGACTAGAGATGTGGTTGGATACTTTAAGTGGGGCTCACTGGGAGCAGAGAAGACAGACTGGAGCTGATCTGAACTGTGGTGGCAAGAAGTTCAAGAGGGAATGAATATTAGTAAGTTAGCTATAGACCATTCTTGTGATATTTTGTCAAAGAATGTGGCTACCTTTTACCATGGCCGTAAAAATCTGCCTGAAGATAAATTTAAATTTTTTGGATTAGGGCTTTAGCAAAAAAGATTTCAAGACAGCCTAATACTGACCCTATTGTATGGCTACTAGGCTACTGCCCTTATGCCTATCTAGAATAAAAAGGAGTAAGGGGAGCAAGGAAAACATTTAAAATGTTAGTCTTGAGGAAAAAAGAAGCACCAGTAGATGATTGCCTACAGTCACATTCTATGTTCAAGGAGACAAAAAGTTTCAAGAAAAGCCTGATGCTAAATTGAATAAAGGGAGTGGTGACCCCAGGGCAAGACCCCACCTAGCTAAGCTTCTAACTTGTGAAAGGAATCAAAGGAAAACTTAAGCAGTGAGGGAAACCATCAACAACAGAAAGCTGGTGCAACTATGATTTAAAAAGGGGGCCAAGCTCCACCAGCCCCATCAAGCAGAGCTTGGCAGCTTCAGCCATGTGGTTCTGGCTTTAGAGTTAAGAATACAATAAAGAGGTTGAGGAATCTCCCTCCATCCACACTAAGGAAAGCCACTGAGGCCAGACAGGGGTGTCCCTACATGGAGGCCCAGAGTGTGAAGCTGTGAAGGGGAAGCCTGATTGCATTGGAAACCCCAAGGTGTTGGAGGTGCCAGAAACTTGGGATACCTCCCAAGAAGAGCTGCTAACAGGGAGTAGAGCCAGCCCAAGAGAGAGAAGTCTGTGGTAGTCAACAAAGCTAAAAGCAGTTGGAGTTCTAAAGAACGCTTTGACATTAGACATGAAGATGCAGGATTTAGTTAGCCTTGCTAGGTTTAGGTCTTGCTTTGGTCCAGCAGTTCCTCACTATGCTCCCTTTTCTTCTTTTTGGAATGGTAACATCTATTTTATGCCATTTTCTGTTGGAAGTATGTGATCTGCTTTTTTTAATTTTGATTTTACAGGGGGTTTCAGTTAAGAGATTGCCATGAGTCTGAGAAGACACTTTGGACTTTTAACTAAATAGTGTTAAGACAGCAATAGGATAGTGACTAAGACAAACATCTTTGCCCATATTTCCTAACAAAAGCTGGCAGCAGCTTGGCAAATTCCTCCCAGTGAGCGTTTACATGTTGTCTTCTCTCTCAGGTGGTTCTGATACCATACTAATTTTGGAAATAACTGTAAGATGCCTAAAGGCAGAGACAGTGTGTGCCTTGTTCGTAACTTGACCTTGGGGGCTAACAGGTCAACAGGTGCATACCAATACATGCTGTGTAAACAAGGACCTACTTCAGTCAGCCACTGTTCTTTGGCTTCATGCTGCTCTTGGTGAGAATGGTGGCAGGGCTTTCAAAACTCTAGCAAAGCACCTATGCCATGGAGAAAGGAAAGCCTAAGGGAGGCAGTGTGAAGGAGCAGGAGGCACCTGTGGCTCAATGGAGCATTATGCAACCCACCCACGCATGCAACCTCCTTGTGAATGGGGTGCTGTCCTTGTGTGCTGAGGAAGGGGCTGGGATGGACGGAGATGCTAGGAAGAGCATTAGCTATGATTCACTGTAGAAACCGTTGTGAAATGTGAGCAGCCGGATCTGAAACCAAGAACTAGGTCTGATGGCTATTTTGTACCTACTTAACTAAAACCTTATACACTGCCCTGTCTCCTCTCGAGCAAAGAAAAAACAGTATTTGTCTCAGGGATGTGAGGCTTCATGACAAACCTAAGTGCCAAGTAATAGGTGACATATGGTGTACACAGGGTGTTTCAAAGTAATCATCAGCTAGCCAAAGTCAAAGCTGGATCCTAGAGAAAGGGACACACTCTATCCATCAGTTCTCAGGTGCCCTGAGTTCTCAGGTGCCCTGCCTCACTGCCTTCATGACATTTCGTGACCATGGTACCTGGCTCCATCAGCGGCATTCCTGGCTCCCCTGTTCACATTTCCAATGCCCTCACGGTGGCTGTCAAAGCTCAGCACTCCAGCTGCAGAGCAAGAACTCCACTTATGAAGCAATAGGAGATTGAGTTATGCCACCAACACAGGCACGTCCTGCTCTCACCACCAGGGAAACATCCTTCTCTTTAGAACTTTGTTTTCTAGCACACTCATATTCTGACTTGGTAACAACTTTCATCTCCTTCCAGACTGTACTAGTGCAAACAGCAGTTCTGCTCCTGATTTATCACTTGCCTGGAGAGTTTAAGGGCTTCTCTGTCACACACACACACACACACACACACAAACCCACCCACCCCTATGCTCTGCCAAGCTGGGCCTCTTACCCTGACATAAGGCACTGCAGATGTAAATAGCTGACTGACACTGTTAATGAAATAGGCATGTGTTTATAGTGGAAGGTGTTTTCCACTACTGAAGCATACCATCAAATGGCAAGTACGGATCACAGACATGGCCAGTTTGAGTTCAGAGTTTTAGTGGGATTCTCGATGCTTTACGTATCACTAACATGGGTGAATGATGAAAACACGACACCTGTAAGATTTTAATACTTTTTTAATTTAACAAAATATCTACATCTTTGACATTTAAAGTTTACTTAAATAAGGGGTGACCAATTTCAAGCATCACAGTTACTCACCATAAAGAACCTTTGTTAGGCTGGGTGAGGTGGCGCACGCCTGTAAGCCCAGCACTCGGGAGGCAGGTGAATCTATCTCTGTGAGTTCAATCCAGCCTGGTCTACAAAGCGAGTGTAGGACAGCCAGGGCTACACAGAGAACCCCTGTCTTGAACTCCCCCCCCCCCCCAAAAAAAAGGAACCTTTGTTTAAGCATGTTATCTTCAAAAAGGAAAAATAAACCTTAAAAAAAGGAAAAACCTGTTGGGTTTTGTGATCTTTTCCAAGTCCTTATAATTCCATGTAGAAGCTGATGAAATTAAATTTCAACCAAGGGCAAGGTTTACCTCATGGCCACGTTCAGCTGCAACCTCTGATAAATCTAAAATGCAAAACAGAAAAACACAGAGAAATACTTTATGTCTGAGGATTTGTATGTTTGTTTGAGGCAGGTCTCACACGTAGTCCTGAGGGCCTGCAACTCGCTATTTAGACCAGGCTGGCCTTGACCTCCATGCCCAATATACAAAGGTATTTTTAAACACTGAGGCCTGTGACACAATCCCTGGCGACTGGGCAGATACCTGCTCTTCTCCCAGCTTTACCTTCTTGATGTGTAACTCCTGACTGAGTCACTGCACACATGCTGGCTCCCGACCCTAGCAAAGGGAGAGTCCATGAAGTCCCAACACAGGACCATGTTGGGAACTAGTGAGCACTGAGTAGATTATCAAAGCATAACATAGCATAGAGAATGTTCTCTATCTGCTAGTTAGTTACTACTTAGCAATGTGAGATATAGAATAGCATTGATTTCTGGTAAAATGAAGTAGTTTTTGTTTAGAGAATTTTTGTTTTGTTTTGGTTTTCACTGTTGGTGGTGGTTGAGCTTTGGTTTTCTAGTGTCTCACTAGGTAGTCCAAGCCAACCTTGCACTTGTGGCAATCCTCCTGCTTCAACTTCCCAAATGCTGGGATGATTACATACATGAGCCACCATGAATGGCAAAAAAAAAAAAAAAAAAAAAAAAAAAAA